AGTCATCACACTCGAGGGGCGGGGCTCAACACTCGTACGCTTCGCGTACTCGGGTTGAACCCCGCCCCTCTCGTTGTGATAACTGACATATTCGCTCGAGTCCATGATATAACTCTTACTTATATAACACAGTAAACTTATTAACTAATAAAAAACCAAACATATAAAAGTATAACATAGTAAATATATATAGCACCAACGGGATAAACACATCTAAACAACAAACACATATAAACAACAAACACACAAAGCAATAATACACTAAACACTGGAACATTTCACTCGGTGAAATAAAAACAGTACTCCCAATTCAAAGTCAACTTTCTACAATGCATTGTTAAAAAATCATCTTTTTGTAAATACATCATCGACCATATCTCAATGCGCATGTCAATGTCAATGCTGCCACAATACCATTTAATGTCATTTCTCATTGTGACGTGAAATCACGTAGGCCTGTGTAGGTGTGCTAGGTAAACTCCGGTAAGTGTGTATACGGGTGAAGGCGATCAGGACACTAACCTTAATAACGCAATCATAGCTCAATAGTATGTCAAACAGATTTCAAATGAAATCAAACAGAATGAGATTTACTTTTTAGTAGCAATAATATTATGATACACACAGGCGAGAGAGAATTCCACATGATCATTGAGAATGTTTCCACTTTGATGTTCTTGTATAAATATATTACCAGTTTATTGATTTTTGATAGATTGCTTTGCGTTGTACCTTTGAGACACCTACCACGAGTCATAATCATGATCAGATAGGTAATGACAGACTAGCTGGCAGCTAGAGCGTCAAGTGTTCCTGTCCAGTTGTCGCTGTATAGTTGTATATGGTTAATCCTATTGTTAACCATGTGGATAAGGCGTTCTACCGTCTACCGTCACCGTAGCCCTCCACTACCGGGTCGTAGGTTCGTGGCCTACGTGGGGAAGTCGTCAGTAACTGATCGCAGGTCGGTTTTTTCTTCTCCGGGTACTCCGGTTTTCCTCTACAAACAAAGCATGTCTTGTCCTTATATGAGTAGAACTGTTTAAAGGACGTAAAGCATTAACAAACCAAACCCAAACAACACCCACTTTCTTTATAAAAAAAAAAAATTGAAATAAATAAATGAATAAAATTAGAAAATAATAGAAATACGCTAAAAGTCAATTGAAATAATCAGTACGTGACTATAATTATCATCATTCAAAACCGTTTGGAGACGAAGTCGTGAGAATGATCGACGCGATTACGTGGCCGCGGAGCACATTGCATAACATCATTTTTCACCACGATTGTTTATATTCTCCCAGGTAATCCATTAAACTGAAGGCGTGTTTTGTTAATTTAACATTTAGCTGCATTCTGTTCAAAATTACATCCCTATAATTCTAAAACAGGATTACAGTCAAATCGAAATACCGGCGTAAGGACGTTATGCATATTTGTCTGTCGTCCTGTCCAGAGTTATAGGACAATATTAGGAGAATGATGGTCGTTCATGTACTGGTATTTGTTCTGGCTTTAAAAACAAATTTCAGGTACATGTTTAAGTAAGCAAGAGGCCCAACGGACCTGCATCGCTTACCTGGTATCAGTATCACAAAAGTAACCTTAAAAGTGTACTAAGGTCGAATATGTTTAAATGGACTATAAAAAGCGACTGGCTTTTAAATATTACCTATGAATTAGAATATTTCAATAGTCCCGTTAAAATATTTTGACACATTTGACCCATGTGCTATTGAAAATCAAATAAGATAATACAGTAAACAACATGGTTGCTCTGCATCCCAGCACGCAGCTGGCCAAATAGCATCACTATCGGTCTTTTGGTTATTAAAAACAGACCATTTCAATGTTAATATGCATAAGATCAATGTGTCCTTGACATTGGGTCAATATCATTCATATGAACAAACTTGGTACCTGTTCAAAATCCCAGCATGCTACTGACAAACTATCATCAGCCTGTGACTTTTGGTATCGTAGAAGAAGTTGTTTTATGAGTTTAATACAATTGACCTATGTGACCTTGAAAACTTGTCTAAATCATTCGTTTAGACAAACTTCGTAGCTCTTCATCTCGGTATGCTAGTAGCAAAATATGAAGTTATTCAGGATTCAGATGAAGTCATTTCATTTTGTTAACACACTCGACTCCTGTGACCTTTAACATATGTGGAGGCCAATTATGCGACCAGAATTGATAGCACTTCATCCCAGCATGCGAACAGCCAAATATCATCACGTTGTGAGTTCCGGTTATTCAGAAGAAGTCATAAAAACGTTTCCAACACATTTAACCCTTGTGACGTCGCATAGTATCCTTAACCCAAGCATGCACCTGACCAAATATCACAATCCTATTATGGTTAGTAATTCAATGTTTTTAACCTATTTTGAACCCTGAAACCTTAGAAGTGTGTCAGGGTAATTTATTTCAACATACTGTATAGCCTCTAATCCCAGCATGCCACTGGTCAAATATCCTCAAAGTATACCTCTTTGTTATTCAGAAGAAGTTATTTAAAGACTTTCAACACATTTGATCCCTTGAACTTGAATATGAGTGAAGGTTATTTATTTCAATAAAATCAATAGCCCTCATCCCAGCATGCTACTGGTCAAAAATCACTATCCTGTGACAATTTAGTTAATTAAAAGCCGTTTAATGGGTTCTAACACTTCCGACAACTGTAACCTTGAATATTTGTGAAGGTCATTCATTTGAACAAACTTGATAGCCTTTCATTCCAGCATGCTACTGGGCAAATATCTCTCTAAGCTTTTTGGCATTTCAGAAGGAGACATTTGTATATTTCAACACATCAGACTCTGTGACCTTGTACATGGGTCAAGGTCATTCTTTTGAACAACATTTATTGCATTTCACCCCCGCATGTTACACGTACAAACCAAATATCATCAACCTATGTTTCGTTGGTTATCCAGAAGAAGTCATTTAACTCATTCAACCCTGAAGACTCATTTGAACTCTTTCAATTCAAAGGTTGGAATAAGTTCATCAAGAAACTTCAGTGGTGAATGGGTTAAAGGGGTTCAGTACAGTTGGTCGCTGTGATCTTGTGCAAAGGTAATTAATTGAACATACTTGAAAATATCATTACCTTAGAACTTTTGGTTACTTTAATGTTTTTAACACATCTGACCCATGTGACCTTGACTATTGTTGAATGTCATTCATTTAAATAAACTTGATTGCTATTTATATATGAGCATACAACGCTAGGCCTTTAAGTTATTCAGCAGAAGTCGTTTAAAGTTTTGAACACATTTGCCCCCAATGACCTAGAATACGGGTCAAGGTCATTCTTTTGGAAAATATATAATGATAATAATAATAATTCGAGGTTCAAATATACCGCTTTATCACAACCTAGTTCGTAGGTCGTCTCAAAGCGATTCACAAATTATTATCCGTGGTTATAGGGCCTTTGTAACCAGCCAATACCTTTCTCAACTCCCTGGGGACCATACAGTCGGACCTGCCATTTCGGCGCTAACAGCTAGCATTCAACAATTCTAGCACTGCCAAAGCACTGCGTAATAATTCACAGCTGAGTAGACTGGAACAAGCGGAGTAAAGTAACTTGCTGAAAGATACAACACAGTGCCGTTCCGTGACTCGAACCCGCAACCCTTCGGTCACGAGCCCGGCGCCCTACCACTTGACTTCCCTGCCTCCATATAAATAGACTTTGTAAGCAGTATCTTCACTCGGGGCACCTTGATCTCTAAGAAGAAGTCGTTTGAACCAAAATGTTGACTCCGGGCGGGCGGTCAATGGACGCCGCACTATGGCATAAGCTTACTTGGTCCCTCATCCCAGGTGAGTTAAAATGTAAGTTAACATTATGACGTCACAATCGTCATAACAACACAATCAGCACGCCAAAGTATCTGACTTTGGAGGATCTATATAGCCCTGCAGGTCAAATGTAACGTTATAACCTGGTTGATTAACATCTTACGACAATCTGATTGGTCAAAATCCCGAAAGATATGATGGTTGGAGTCCTTTGACTTCGTGCATCTCCATTGAGGACATTCATCCGCGTGGTAGTACCGTATTGGATTCTTCAATGTTCCGATAGGGACTAATTAAGACACTGTTAATCATGCATGTATTGACGCATCAGACCGTTACGTACATAACTGGTATCGCTGAAATGTCCAAATAGTTGTGGAATTCTTGCACATGTATTTACAAACTTATTTCGTAATATAAATTCTTACGCGGCCTGACTCATTTTCAAAACAACGAGATTAATTAATCAACATTATCATAAAAATGTGTTAGCACATCTCGTTACTGCCGTTATCATGTTAATATACGTTTGGAATTAAAAAAAACACCCTCGAAACGCGTTAAAGCTTTTCTGAAAATTAACTAGCTCGAGTTAGATAAACAACAGTCACTCGTTTTTAGAACCCCTGTGTAAATAAATAAAAAGCTATGTACACAAGATCGCCGAATACACGGCTGCGTATGGCATTGTCACGGAGGAGCGTTCGTCAGGATACGGAACCACACATAACACTGTATTAGTTTAAGTGCTAAATGGATGATCAAAAGAACACGTGATCAGTTGGGAATACCATTTGATTGAAATTAGAAGGCCTGGTTCTGTTTTTAATCTAGATAACCAGCGTGTGACCAATATTCAAAATATACATTTCATTTCCTGAAAAATAGCATCGTGATTCGTCTGGATTGGGTACCATACAGTCTCGGAAAAAGCTATAGATTTTGACAATAACTATCCAGTCGCGTTTTTGATAATATACTTTTTTTCAATCGTCAGATGGAAACGTAATTACAATTGGGCCCAGCTGGTCCATTAATTGACGGTCCACGTGCTATATATGTTGGCGTCCCTCGCGGTCATCAGTAGAATTGGATGTAGATGTCTGTGCTGCTGATGGCCACTAAGTCCCTAGGGGATCTAGATAGGCATGGTTTTCAAGCTTGCAATTCTGTGTTTGTAGCGTATAGTAGTAACTCGCTGACATATCAGCTATCATTTCGTGTACAGGTAGGCTGTCCTTACCCTGGTTATACAGGTACACTACGATAGGGTAACGTTTATATAATGGTAGAGAGACACTTACAGTGTTATCACAACCAATATAACCTACATTTACAACTTTGACGGGACATGCTACCGGCAGTAGGAGGCGGCTCTACTCTTAGGAACAAGGACAATTTGATGATCGTAGCAATCAGTGATTGGAGCTATAGACAGCACTAACACGACTGGTATCGGTGGAGTATTTACCCAGTTTATTACGTGAAGATTAGCCTATGCCGGAGTCCACTTCTCACAAGAAGAAGTATAGCCGTGACTCTGTTCCTGCGAACCACTGGGTCAGAAGGTACAGAATGATCACTAGCATCGATGATTTGAGATCTTTGAGGTTTTGGAAGGCGGTTGGTGCCGAGTTTCTCGGAACGTTGCTACTGGTGATGGTAGGATGTGGCTCGTGTGTAGCTTGGGATGCTGACAACAAAGTGGTCCAGATCGCATTCTGTTTCGGACTTAGTGTAGCCACTATTGTATGGAGCATCGGACATGTAAGTGGGGGACATATAAACCCGGCTGTCACGTGTGCATTCTTCATCACGCGCCAAATAAGTCTTGCGCGCGGCGTTCTCTACATTGTGGTCCAATGTCTTGGAGCAATAATTGGAGCGGGCTTGTTGAAGGGGATGACACCTCCCAGCCGCCAGGACACTTTGGGGGCCACCGTGCCACACAATGACGTAGATGGTGGCAGAGCGTTTGGAATTGAATTTTTTATCACCTTTATCCTCATTTTTACCATTTTTGCGACATGTGACAAAAAACGTAAGGATCTTGGCGGTTCCTTCCCGTTGTCTATCGGCCTCGCGGTTACCATGTGTCACCTGTTTGCAGTAAGTATACCATGCTTGTCGATGGGCCTCTTTACTGTGATCTTATTAACATGTAATACGTCCTGTTTTCACAACTGTCAAACATATCTCACCCTAGAGTGGGATTGCGTGTTATGACGTCACGAAGTGATGATAGGAAAATTATATTTTATTAGTAGTGTACGTGAAAATATGATATGTCGCTAGTTACTCTGTGATATTAGGAACATTTAATCTTTTATTAAGACCGTTTGTCTCGTGCGGGGTTTCTATACCCAATGGGCTGACATTCCTCCATTCCCAACGTTTACTTGTGATATCTTTATTTAATCCGGATATCTCTTAATCCGCATAGGTCTCAATACGGATATCTCTTTATCAGCATAGCTCTCAATAAGAATATATCTTAAGAGGGACATTTTAATCCGGATATCTCTTAGTCCACATATCTCTCCAAACGGAGATCTCTTAATAGGGACATTTTAATCCAGATATCCTATAATACGGATGTATCATCATTACTGACAACCATTTGACCCGTCTAGGTCAAACGACCAATAAACATATGTAAACAGGTGTTTTATGTAATGTATAATGGTTAAATTTCGTATTTCATGAGTAACAGTTTCATGACAAATATTAGAGTCCTGTATTTCTGTATGATGTTATGTAGATGCCCAGATCACATCACGTACCCAACATGGAAGTAGCCAGTTTGAGACGTATCGCCGTTAAGACCGTTAAGTTGTGGAGTTGTTGTTAAGATAAGGTAAATTCCTGTATTGAAAGGATTTCTTTCATCTGCGACCCTTTGACCGTTGACATACAACTCAGAGGACGTCGTACACATATAAAGGACCCATCTCTCTGGATAGGAAACGTCCACTCAGAATATCGTACACTTGTGAGGTTAATATTGGAATAATTCAAAATATAGAATACTTTTCTTGTGTTTGAAGTTTGAAAAACTGAAATAAATTCATAAATATAAGGAGAATTTTGTCAGGTGATGCGATGTTGTGTGAAATTTATTTGATCTTTAGTTTCACATGTTGACCTTGACATTTAAATCGAAATTAAAACAATTAGTACTGGCCACACAGTTACTTCAAAACGCAAATATTAGAGGGCAGTTATATTTGGATACAAATATTGATTGGTCGGGGGTTGCATCATTCAGACATTTCATTGGTGTGGTAAACTATCAATGAAAGGGCTCAATGTGCAAGGTGGCGTTTTTTGTTCCCTCACCTACTGTAGTCACACGGAGAATGGCATTGCATTTGATTATGAAATGCACCTTCTCAGGAGGGTGTTCAATGCATGTATTTTTTATGTAATGGCGTTTTAATAAAAACGGCCATTTTCAATCATTAAGTCTTCCTGTTTTTTTTGTTGACTTTTGTACTATTACATAGCTTGCTGCTTGGCTGATAGGAGCGAACCATACAACATAAATATGAATTACAGTAGTTAATATATGTACGTGTTAGGCGAGCTTCATGCAATATTGATGTAACCGAGGAGCTTTATATAGGTATGAATATAAAACTCCGTCAATCCTTATAATGATGTTATACTGTAAAACGGGTCGTTTTTGCGTGGGCTTTATTTTCGCAGTTTCGGAATTGCATATTGAGTAATTTAGCTACACGTTATATTATTGTATCTGTATGAAAGTAATGCAACATGTTTGCTATATATTCTGTTTGCATTATCGCCCGTCATAATACCGTTAATGAGTCTACTTGTCTCGTCTGAGTGTGCTGTAACCCAATGTATGATCGGGAGAGGCGACTAATGTGGAGACCACTGCAGCTTCAGGAGTTTTTCTTTTGGTGACAAAAAATGCTCAGCTCTCCCTATTGCAACACCTTGGAGGTTTTTCGTTTGTTGTCTTTCTACTCTTTCTCTTCCCGGCGGTGTTTCCCTAGACACCCGTCCTTATATGACTCACTGTACTTTTGGTAGCCTATATAATGTATACCAGGAACCTCTCGCCATACGATGGTGAAATCCTTATTCGTCCGGTGTTAATTTCGCCACTGTTGTTTATTACGGAAGCCTGTACGGGCCACCGAGAAAAAAATGCTATGTCGTAATAACGACTTACTATCTCGAAATAACTATATAGCTAAGTCGTTACGTCTTAGATAGTAAGTCGTTATTGCGAGATAATAAGTCGTATGTCGTTATTACGACAGAACATTTGATTTCTCTGTGGCCCGTACCGGCTTCTGTAGTTCCGAATGAACAAAATCGGCCTCAATACATAGGCAGAACACTGCGAAAGTTGAGCTGCGGCGGCAATTTCCCGATCTACAGTACTTGGTTCGATTGGACAGAACATGTCAGGATGGTTGCCCTATGTGGCGGAGGAGACGCTTACACTTCCGGGTTTTGAGGGAGTTCATGTTGCTCTTACTTTTGTTTTGTCGTCTTTTTCACTTCCTGTTGCTTTTCAATCTTATCGACATTTCGTGAGGGGTGTATATCATTTACTGTTTTCAGTATAGGTAACAACTTCACCGACATATATCTGAAGATGACATCTGACTCGGTAAACATTGTTCGTCTACATCATATACATAAATTAAACACGTGCTCTTGTTAAATTTCGCATTTCATGGACAAACACAAATTTTTTTTTGTGTGTCAAAAAGCTGCACTTCAATACTCGACAAACACATATCGTAGATAGGGCTTTAAAACAATCCTGCTTTTAAACAAGTTTTTTAAATTATGCTTTTATCGTGCATACAGGGCTTTTTATTATATTTTTATTATAACTAAGTATAAAGAGACCGTCATATAGAGATAACTAGGTTTACCTGTGAAGCAGGTGTAAATACTGCGTACGAAGGGTTAACAGCGCAGAACTGTGAACACTCCCCATCTCTTGTACTGCACATTCTCGTTTCTCTCATGAATAATTCAAGTGGTGGAAATAATAGCGTTTCGCTGAATGCCCAAATCGCAATTTTGTTATGGAAAGTTTAGCCTTTGAAACGAATTGGTTTCCACGTAGATAACGACAGTATCAACTATGGGGGGTATGTTATGTACCCGTGTCTAGAGTGTACGTGTTTTATGTATCCAGTATAGGTAAACAGGCAGAACACCTCATCATTATCAATGGTTGTTGGAATATATGTTTTGTATAGGATGAAGATACATGAAGGGGGGGGGGGCGCAAGGGAGAGGGATGGGTACAAGAGGGAGGTTGGGTGAGAGAGGGAGCGGGAGGGGACTGAGACAGGGAAAGTTGTAATACAGGAAAGGAGGAGGGACGTAAGGAAGGAGAGGGAGGAGTAAAGAG